AACGTTTCTTTTTTCCATATTTTAAGAAAAAAACAGGCACACATGCTCACACACATACAGAGAGGGGCAGAGAGATCCAGTGAAGGAAAGCTGATCAAAGGTGGGGGGACACAGGAGATACATAAAGAATAAGAGGCACACACATGGAGACATTTCTCATGGCTAAGAAAAAGAGAATAGAATATAGCATGTTGAGACCTGGGGCAGCAAGAACATGGTCCTGGCTTTGACCAAAGTAGCAGCCTCCATCTGGCACCTTCTTAACAAGTGGCAGCTCAGAACTCTTGATGATATTGTCATATTGGTGTTGTAGACATGATAATGGTGATCATCAGTTCATTGGAGGGGACGTCACCTCTTGTCTTTCAGGTTGAATTAAACTGGTGAAAAGCCTTGGTTCCTCTTACATAGAACATGATATTAGTAGTTTAAATTCTAAAACAGACTAGAAGCAATAACACAATGGGTAACAGGACGTTGGTGTTGGTGAGACTTTCCCCGTGGTCTTGGAGTCACAGTGGAGGCCCCACAATTGAGATCAATAGAGGACACCTACCCCTAGTTTCAAAGACAACATGAGGCCACACTACACATGCAGAGCTTTCTTTTTTTTTTAATTCTTATGTTAATCCCCATACATTACATCATTAGTTTTAGATGTAGTGTTCCATGATTCATTGTTTGTGCATAACACCCAGTGCTCCATGCAGAATGTGCCCTCCTCAATACCCACCACCAGGCTAACCCATCCTCCCACCCCCCTCCCCTCTAGAACCCTCAGTTTGTTTTTCAGAGTCCATCGTCTCTCATGGTTCGTCTCCCCCTCCGATTTCCCCCGCTTCATTCTTCCCCTCCCGCTACCTTCTTCTTCTTCTTTTTTTTTCTTAACATATATTGCATTATTTGTTTCAGAGGTACAGATCTGAGATTCAACAGTCTTGCACAATTCACAGCACTTACCAGAGCACATCCCCTCCCCAGTGTCTATCACCCAGCCACCCCGTCCCTCCCACCCCACCCCCCACTCCAGCAACCCTCAGTTTGTTTCCCACATGCAGAGCTTTCTAAAAGATGGTGAAACTGGTTCTGTGAGTTGTCACCCACCTCTGGCATACATAAGAGAAGATAAGAAGCTCAAAAGAGATTGACTGGAGAGGAGGGGCCACCTGGTTCCATTATCTTCCTGGGCCAAGGTATAGAATCCAAGGCAGGGAGGTTTCATGAAAACTGCTTTGTGAGTAGGGGGTATGCCTGTGCATAAGAAACCCATCCCTGTGCCCCAGAGCCATTGGCCTCTGGGGCTGCTGGCACCACAGCCACTGGTGATGAGACAGCACTTGGGAGGTCAAATCTGAGTCCTGGATTTTGGTAAAGCATGGCGGGGGGGTGGGGGCTGGCTGGATTGCCTGTGACCATGAAGAGAAGGGGGGAAGCCTGCATTTCCAGAATTTGGGGGAGGGAGTTCAAGTTACCTAACTTCCCCATGAACTTAGTGATTGTTGTGAGTATAGCCAGACCTGAAGGGTCTTGAGAAGGCCTGGTCCAAAAGAGCTGCCCACCTGAGTGAGCCAATCCTGGTGGACCATGGCTGTGAGGAGCTCAGAAAGAGCAAGATGTTATCCTCAAGAGACTGAATTAGTCAGGCCAGCCCTGGTTGTACTGCAGTAACAAACAGTCCCCAATTATGGCCACATCACAGCAGCCCCAATCAAGTAAGAGTTTACACTTTAAGGCTATCTTCAATCCCTACCCAGCCCAGAGGAGCCTGAGAAGTAGCTATTAAGAGATATTACAGACCATGCTTCCCACTCCTTTATGATCAGCTGAATCCATGGTCTGGCCAGAAATTAGGGAGAGAACAGAGGTCAAAGTGGATGATGAAGTGAAGTTTGATTGAAACTGGATATTGATTTTTTATCTACCTGGAGTGAGACTACTCTTAGGGTAATCAAGTTGTGCACTGCACAAGGGTATCTGACACAATGGACTAGTAGATGCTTAAACCCATGCTTAGCTCTGTTATCCAAGATTTGCATCCTAGCAAGTGTGGTGCATCAACTCAGAGGGAGAGGCACCCTCTGTATAACGCATCCATCCATAAAGGACCTTAAAAATTTGCATAAAAGCATCATATATGCTAAGGGGTAGCTATTCCAGTACCTGAAAATGCCTAGAAAAGCCTGCGGATGCACCCACGCTATCATTCAGGGTTGGACCAGCACAGTTGAAAGACATTGGTGGGAAGAAAAGTAAATTTGTATCTCGATTGAACTTCACTGAATTCAGTCCATCAAGACACAATAATAGTGCACCATTCTAAGGAAGGAAAGGGAAATATGTGCAAGCCAACTAGAGGACTGGTTGTTCAGTAAGACAGAGACCTGCCCTGAGGGCTGTTGCATGTATCCCCAGGCTCAAAGAAGTAGGGCTGCTGCTGTAGCTAGCTGTTCCTGCTCCTTTGTTGTGCCTAGGACAGCAATGCTTGGGAATTCACATGCTACTGTGAGGATGGTTGTGATCTAGGCATCACAAGACTGGGGCCCAAGCCTGCATTGTGCCACTCACTAGCTAGTTGGGACCCTGAAGGTGTCAATAACTGAGACACCTTCTCCGGGTCTCAGTTATTGCTGTCTAAAATGAAGAATAGAACCCAGTGAGCTAACATTCCATTTCATAACCATGGTGATAATGACAAAGACACGGTATTACCTGACACGTGGTTCTTATCAGGTGCCAGCCAACATTATGAGCACGTTTATATATGTTGACTGAATCCCCTTATGGGGAGACACCCTATTCCCATTTTACAGACACAAATGGAAACTCAGAGAGGTCGAGTGGTTTGTCCCAAGGGTCAGAGCTGTAAATGACAGAATGGGGATTTGAACTTAGTTTAACTGTAGGGTTTGTGTTTTAATGCCATGCTCCATGGGCTCTCAAATGCTCACAGAGTATCAGGTGTCCTATAGTGAGTGCTTACTATGGGCTGCTCACCGTGCTGGGTGCTTTTAGCTGCAGCTCACTTCACCCTCAGGATCCTCCTTGAAATGTTGATGCCGTCTACAGCATTTTGTGTTTGAGAAAATGAGGAGCGCAGAGACCAAAGTGCCCAAGGTCATGTGCTGGTTAGTGGAAAGCCTGGGATTCATCCTGTCTGCAGCTGGAATGGATCCCCCAACAAGGATGGGGCTAAGACAGGCGTTGGACTCTGGGGGCCCTAGAGCCTCTCTTCTAGGGAATGCTTTTCCTCTTCCTCACACCCCCACCCCCTCTTGTCTGCCTTCAGCTCTGCCTCCATGGCTCAGGGTGACTGAGCACCGCCTCGCTGCTCCTGTTGCACCTGACTCCAGGAAGGAGGGTGGGCGTGGGTGTATCCCTGGGTTTCTGCCCTGCCTGTCCATTTCCCTGGTCAGCTAGCCGGCTTCCTCTGGGCTGGGCCCATGTCTTGTTAGACAGTGGGGTCCTCACAGGGGGCTGACATAGCTGCCATGTGTGGATGAGTGAAGGAATTGGATGGATTGGCAGGTACTTAAAGAAGGGCTGGGGGCAAGCACCCTCCACAAATGAAAGCATCAGCTCAATGAATGATAGGCGTTTGTCTCCCTCCTCTTGGTCAGTTTCCCCAGGAACACCAATTTATGGGATGGGGCGTCTGGGTGGCTCAGTTGGTTAAGCGACTGCCTTCGGCTCAGGTCATGATCCCAGAGTCCCTGGATGGAGTCCGACATCAGGCTCCCGGCTCAGTGGGGAGTCTGCTTCTTCCCCTGACCCTCTCCCCTCTCATGCTCTCTCTCACTCTTTCTCTCTCTCTCAAATAAATAAATAAATAAATAAAATCTTAAAAAAACAAAACCATTTATGGGGTCTGTCCACGAGTCCATGGATATGGTCGCAAATAAGCCAGAGAAGGTCCTTAACTGTGGGCTCTTCCTTTTCAATGGGGAAGATATAAAATAAATAAGCACCTAAGTAGACAAGATGATGTAGTCATGGTAGGGCTGAGAAGGACATTTGCCAGGAACTGCACAGTTAGGACTCTGGAATGTCCATGCAGGAGTGTGGCTCAGTGTCCAGAGATGAAAATGAATTACTGGCATTTCGTCTTTTAGAAACTGGTTGCAAAGATATTGGGAGGGCCTGTGGTACAGAGAGAAGAACATAAGGTGAGCCCTTCTAGCTTCTGAAAGCCACTGCCTCCCTTATGGGCGGGAGGAGGAAAAGGAAGGAAAAGGAGACAATATTACCCAGAGCTGCAGGATTGCTCTTCTGTGGTTTTGGTGCTAGGAACTGCCAGAGCAGAGACTCAAATCAACACTAGCTGGTAGTTGCTGCCCCCATCCCTGCTGCAGGGACTACACCAGAGCACACCGCTCTCCTTGCTTGCCTTCTCCCTCCTCCCACCGCCCTCAGGGGCAGGACCTCACAGGAAGCAAGAGAGCCTGGAAACCAGACGGACTGGTGCATAGTGCTGATCGGGGGCTTGCGAAGTAATCCACACCTTGGCACAGGGGATTTGGGTTGGCTTTCTGGTTGAAGCAAAGGTCTAGGACCTGCCCCAAAGCTACTTTGCAGAACCAGTAGGCAATTTTTATCGAGATTTATAGGTATTTGGAGGTAGCTTTTGGGGGCTGGTGAAGGCTGTGCTGGGGCAGGGGGCACGGGCTGAGTTGACAACACATTTGGTGCTATGATGAAGATCAGCTGGGGGTGCTGAGGAAAGTGTCCTGAACATGTGGATTTGGGCTGAGACATGCAGGAGGGGACTGTCGCTTGAGGTGTCCTCCCAGAGCACCGAGGGCTGAAGATGCACCTGTGGCTTGGGTCACCTGCATGCTCAGCTGCTTAGTGACCCAACTTTCCCAGCACCAGGCTCTGCCTTGCCAGCTCCCTTCTGAGGTCCAAGCTGGAGCCCCTCTCCAGTGGCTTCTGGCAAATTCAACAGCAGCCCCCACCCATCTGGATTTCTGGGGCTGCCATAACAAAACCACAAACTGGGGGCTTAGAACAACAGAACTTTATTCTCTCCCAGTTCTGGAGGCCAGAAGTCAAAAATCAAGGTGTTGGCAGGGTCTTGCTTCCTGGGAGTTTCCAGGAAAGAATCCTTCCTTGCCACTTGCAGCTTCTGGTGGCAGCCAGCATACCTTGGCCTTCTTTGGCTTATAGATGCGTCACTCCAGTGTCTGCCTCTGTCATCCCATGACCTTCAATCCTGTGCATCAGCATCTCCTGTTATCATAAGGACACCAGGCATATTGGATTTAGCACCCACCCTACTCCAGCATGACCTCATCTTAACTCATTACCTCTGCAATGACTCTATTATATCCAAATGCGGTCACAGTCTGAGGTTCTGGGAAGGACACAAGTAGGGGTGGGACATACCAGAACCTGGCACCCACACCACAGTCATGTTCTACCCACATCTAAGAACATCTCATTGTTCTGTGCCCAGCCTCCAGATCCACCTGCCTTCATGCATTAACACTGACAGGTGCTGGATCCCAGCTTGTCTTTCTGGTGGTGGAGTGGGGAGCTACAGAGTGGAGCCTGTCAGAACACTCCCAGCAAGCTCACCAGCCAAGAAAAGGGTCCCCTTGTATCAGATTCACTCATCTGATACTGTTTTTTTTTTTTCACTGAAGTTACTGATAACACACAGAATCACCCACCAGTTCGCCAGGCCAACAAATGGAAGTTTTCTCATTTTCCTATATCCCCTTCCAATATTTGCCGAAGCGTTGAATGTTTTGGTAGCTGTATAACACAGCAGACATGAGATTTGTTTTATGCTTTCACTCTACTTTCTCTCAGAGGCATTATCTCCATTGCTACGGTCTTCATAATTATCACTTTAAAAGCTGCATAATGTTGCATTAAGAGGATGTACCATGATTTACTTAACTAAATGTCCAGCCGTGGTGAAGCAGTTGTTTTACTATTTAAATAGTGTGATTATGAACATCTCTGGAATTTGGCTTTTTGATTCTTATTTAATTCTTTGAAGGATTACATTTAAAATTAAACATTGCATTTTCGTTTCCTTTAAATAAACGATCTCTCCAATATGCTGACATTTTCCTAAGAATTTAGCACTGAAGATAGATTGTAATATACAAGATTTTGCTGTTTGCCTGTTCAACGTTTCCTCATAACAGTAAAATCACATTCCCTGGAGGCCATCCTCCTTCTCCTTGACCTCCACGTGCTCTGGCTGGAGTCAGCCTCACCCCAGTGATGGGGGTAGCATCTGGGACAGCAGGTCCAGTCCCCTTGGCCACAGTACTTGGCTTAGGGATGGGCCAGTGGCCAGATCTGTGTCAATCAAGGTGGGTCCAGGGTTTCTGTAGAAATCACTGGGAGGATGGAACCTCTCTGGAGCTACGAGGATGGAAGCCTGGAGTTGTTGGCAGCCACTCTGCCACCATGAGGTAAGAGTCTGTCTGGGAACAAAACAAAATGGAGGGGAATGGAGAAGAGAGATGGAGAGAGACAGAAAAAAGATAGTGAGGGGAGATGGAGTGGAGAGAGGAAGGGAGGGAGGGAGGGATGCAGGAAGAGAGACACGGGACCCTGAAATCGTAGATTGAGTCCTGCACGGTACAGGTATACAGCCATCAAATGACCCTTTCTTGCTTACGCCTGTTTGAATTGGTGTCTCTTGTCACCAAAACAGTGCTGTTGGGTATTCTGCATTGGTGTTTGCATACTTTAGAAACTATAGAAAAAGGAGAAACTTTTCATCTGTTGGCATGGCAGCTGGTAGGTTATCACTAAGCTTAGAATGGAGGAAAATGAAGGCAGAACATGTGCATGCCTTCAGAAAGTAGCGTGTCGGTGATGGGCCAGATCACACAGGGGAGGTGTGTCTGATGCATTCAGCACACTCACTGTGGTGGGTTCAAAGAGCACTGGAGAGAGAGTCCATGGAGCCAGAGCCAGTGTCCACTCCTGTCCCCGAGCCTCCCTTCCTTCATCTGCAGGAAATAAGGGGTTAGATCAGATTCCAGACATCGCAGGGGAGAGAGACAGCCCTCCCACCCTCCACCTGGGCGGCCGGACTTGATCTCTTTCCAAACATACCTTCCATGTAAGATTTCATTTGAGGGGAAAAGAGCATCAACGAAAACAAACGGCTCCACCATAAAAGCAAACAGTTGGCAAGTCGGTGAGCTCGATGGTTAATATCCACCATGCTTTCCAGCTCCAGATCCCTGGGACATCAGGATGCGTTTGCTTCCCTCCCCATCCTCAGTAAACACTGCGACTGACTGCCAGGTCTCAGTGGCAGACGTGTCTGCCTGCCTTCCCGGGGGGAAAACAATTGTTCTCCCCGCCTCTGAGCCCCCCAAGGCCCTGGACAGGCGTATCAGGTTAGATGGAGGTGGTATGTGGAGAATCAGTCTTTTTCTAATAATGTCCTGTGCAGTGAAGGAGTAGGTCAGCTTCTCAGATGCATCTCTCGAGACTAAGAGCCATAGTCTAGACAAGTGATTTCACACCTCCCAGGGCATGGTCCCCTATCATTCCAGCATCTTTGACCTGGCCCCTGCTTGCGTTTATTCCATCTGGAGCCTCGGCATTTGGAAGAATGTTTGATCATCCTGGCCAGGAAGGTTTGTCTTTTTAAAATACAACAGCTGCATTAAGACTTTCTTAAAATGGCCTGTAAGCCTACACAGGCAAGGGCATGGCTCTGTAGAATTCTCTTGTCCTCAGTTACCAGGAAAACTTTTGAAGGTCATGCTAAAGACACAAAGAAATACGTTTCATGATCTTCAGGAGTCATCACCAGATAATTTCTGGCCTGGTTTGGCATCTGTGCCCTTGACTCGCAGCTAATGAGTTCAGGGGAGATGTATAGGGCTAAAATAAAATACTTCTGTTAGAACGCCTTATCTTTTCCAGGGTGGCTTTACATTAATTTCCTCACTGTCTTCCCCCAACAACTCTGTGAATTAAGTAGAGAGCAGGTAGCATGATCCTGATTTTGCAGGCGAGGAAGGAGGACCCAGAGAAGTTATAGGGCTCCCTCAAGGTCACCCAGCGATGAAATGGTAGAATCAGCATGGCAATCAGGTCTCCTGACTCCTGGTCTGTTAGAATGCCTTATCTTTTCCAGGGTGGCTTTACATTAATTTCCTCACTGTCTTCCCCCAACAACTCTGTGAATTAAGTAGAGAGCAGATAGCATGATCCTGATTTTGCAGGCGAGGAAGGAGGACCCAGAGAAGTTATAGGGCTCCCCCAAGGTCACCCAGCGATGAAATGGTAGAATCAGCATGGCAATCAGGTCTCCTGACTCCTGGTCTTCCCTCTTTTCATTAAGCCCAAGGTTGGATTTAGCAGCTTAGTGAAATTTGAGGCATGAGGTTTTACCCACAAGTCCTTGCATTCACCTTTAATAACCAGGGAATTTGTTGCTTGATTTACTGACTAAAAGCAGAATAGTTAATTAAATGTAACCACAGCAAGCTTTGGTAGGGAAGGAAAAATATCCCACGTCATTGTTCTTTCGCTAAATGAGAAAGTGCTGAGCCATCTGTCCAAGACAGCAACCCCAAGTGGAAATGTATTGTTCTTTGGTTATTGTTTCAAAAGACACAAAACCTAGAGGCTTCTGGGTACGGAAGGAATGTATGATGAGGGACAAGCGCGGCACAGTTGTTCACGTGAGTTAATTTTCTCAGTCCTTTGGAGAAACAAAGCTCAGCAAAACTCTGAGTATGTTCCCCATGAATACCAAAATGAGATTAAATTCAACATCTAAAGACTTTTAATAAAGACGAAGCCAGAAGGATTCAACCACAGGGAATCGCCGACCAAAAGCATTAGAAAATTGGATACCAGAAATGAGAGACCAGAAGCCAGGAGACATCCCGGCTTACCCAGGAGACTGTGGCAGTACCCAGCTTGGACGGGAGCATATTCTTCCTGTTTTGGAGTGAACAAAACTGAGTAATTGTATCCCCACAGAAATCACGACAGCCAGTAATTAACGGGCAACGCTGCTCCCAACCCGAACACCTGTGTCTACACAGCCCCGAGTGACAAGAAACACACTTAGACAGTAGCACCTTCACCTGGAACATAGAGGCGGCCTGTCTTCACTCCAGTGAGGGTGTGAACCACCACAATGATAGAGTCTCCGTGTGGGTCGACAGAATAATTATCTTTCCTCCACTACCTTGTTGTGTTTTTCCTGAAAGATATGCTTCCGTCCTGACCCCCTCGTACCTGGGAAGGTGACCGGATTTGGAAATAGGGTCTTTGCAGGTGTCGTCAAGTTAGGATGAAGTCAAGTTAGGGTGGACCCTGATCCAACATGACTGGTGTCCTTTGAAGAAGAGACTCACAGCGGGGCTGGCCACGTGGAGATGGAGGAAGAGACTGGCGTGGATGTGCCTGTGAGCCAAGAACAGCCTGGGGCCATCAGCAGAGGAAGATCCTCCCCTGGAGCCCTTGGACGGCGCACAGGCCCACCAACACCTCGATTTCAGACTTCTGGGTCCCAGAACTGGGAGACAGCCAATTCTTGTTGTTTAAGAGCCCCTGTTTTGGGGGGCTCGTTATGGAAGCCACACAAAACTCCCCAGGAATGCCCACAACTCCCCAGAAATGTCTCAGGTGTGGGCCTACAGCCTTGTGCTTGGGAGGAGCTGTCCCCCACAACATGCAGAGTCGGAGAGGGATGGCTAGTTTTGTGACACGGGGTGGTGGGAACCTGGGAGCTGGCAGGGCATCTGTGGGTGGAACCCCACCCGATTTCTCTTTCTGGGACACCCAACAACACCCACCAGACAGGGAGTGAGTGTCGGAAGTGTGCCTAGAATGTTCTCCCCCTGCACAGCCCCAGGGCACCCCACCTCATCCAAGTCCTTGCTCACGTGTCGCCTTTCCCCAGAGGTCTTCTCCAATCAGGGACCGAGATGTGCAGCCCCACACCCTCTGCTCTAGATTTCTTCACACTGTCTTCTACTCTTCTTACTATTATGTGTTTTGCCTGTTGTCTGTCTCGTTCCTGGAAAATGCTCTGCGAGCCTGTTTTCCTCACTGATATGCCCCAGTACACATAGTAGGCACTCAACAAATACCCATTTGTTGAGTAACTGGATAAATGAATTGTAGTCAAAGACATTTGGATACCTGGGTTCAAGAGGCTCTGGCTGGTCCACATGCATCTGTGTGCTTCCCAGGATAGGGCTCACCTCTGCCAAAAGGAGGGCGAGCTCCCTTTCATGTGTGAAACCCGAAAATCATGGCGTTTCACATGGAATCCCCCATCCCCTAAGGAGAAGTGCAGGCCATCCTAACAGCCACCTCCACGTTTTAAAGCAGTGGACGCAGAAGGGCTGAAATCTGGTGTGGATGTTGTCTTAGCCTGTTTGGGCTGCAGTAATAAAAACAGCACAGACTCTCACTCTTACCTGTTGCCGTTCTGGGGGCTGGAAGTCCAGGGTCAAAGTGCTGGCAGATTCGCGGTCTGCAGAGAAGACCCACTTGCTCTTTGCAGACAGTCGCCTTCTCTCTGTGTCCTCACTGGGCAGAGGGCCGAGGGGGCTCTTGAGGGCCCCTTTTCTAAGGGCATTAATCCCACTCATGAGGGCTCCACCCCTGTGACCTAATCACAAAGGCCCCACCTCTTAATATCATCACATTGGGAGTGAAGATTTAACATGAATCTTAGGGGGACACAAACATTCAGTCTACATCAAGTGTGAAGTGTGTCCTGACTTTAAACACATGTACTGGCCATTCATTCATTCATTCATTCATTCACCTTATGCAAGACGCTGGAGAGGCTCAGGTTCCTTCCTTAATGAGCTGTTCCAGAGCATCAGCAAGGTTATCAGATTCTTCACAGCCCCACCTGGAACCCACATCTGAGAGCACCCTGAGGCCAGAAAGGAATTTTCCATGAAGCGATCGTTCCAGCCTCTCTGTTCGTTATCCAGGGACGTACTGGTCAGAACGATGGCTCATCTTGACCGTTCTCCCGCCATGGCGGTGGCGTCCACAGAAGGTGGAACAAGGTCAGTCTGAGGTGTGCCGACTGGTGGTCGTGGCCATGGAGCCTGCCTCTCCCTTCACCTGGGTCCCCAGACCACAGCGGGCCTTAGAATTCTGAAAATGACCTGAGTCCTGGCCAAACGGCCACTCTGTGGTCTGGTCCCGGCCAGGAGAGGGTGCAGGTGGCACGGAGAAGCCAGGAGTGCCCTGCACGTGCAGGGGCAGTTCACACAGAGAGTCCCAGTGAAGTCTGCAGTCCATGAAACCCTGTGCAGGAGTCCAGGCCTCCCGAGCTGGCTGTCCTGGGTCCTGTGCCCCAGGAGCTCCTCCCAACTTCCCGCTGATGTTACTCTGCTCGTCCTATGGCAACAGTCTGCTGGCCGCCCTCTTCCTGTACCTCTCTCCTCCTTCCTTCCCTTCCTCTCTCCCTCGCCCCCTTCCTGTCCCTCCCACCTTCCCCCCTCCTTCTCTCTCTTCCTGTCCCTCCCTCTCTCTCTTCCTGTCCCTCCCTCCCTCCCTCTCTCTCTTCCTGTACCCCTCTCCCTCCTTCCCTCCTTTCCTCCCTCCCTCCCTCTCTCCTTCCTCCCTTCCTTTCCCTCCCCCCTCCCCCGCCTTCTCTCTCAGCCACTTGTCTTGATTCCTGTGTTCCCTGTAGCTCCACCACCCACAGGCTCAGCGTGGTCTCACTGGTGGTTCTGTCTGGGCACAGAGGCCTCCCACTCACCCTGGCACCTTCTCTCCCTTTTTGCTCCTTTCCAAAGTTATTTGTGTTTGCATCAAACAGTGACCGAGAGGTGTGGGCTGAAGCTTGGGCAGGGGGAATGTTTCAGCACGTCAGAAGGCCTGGGGTTTTAGCTGAAGGGTTCTGTGGTGAGGATAATTCGTCTGTGATGAACACAAGGAAGGATGAGAAAGATGAGCAGAGCCTAGTGGGATATGTGCAGGCGGCACATGGGTCCTGGAGAGAACGCTTCCTGCATCTGCAGGAAGGTCGGCAGAGGGAGACCCTGCCTCGCTGTGGCACGCTGCAGGGCTCTTCAAGCAGAGAGAGGGCCTACAGGCATCACTTACACTGGTGCTGAAGGAGTGAGACGGGGGCTGAGCCCTGGCCCCTGGGCACCCACTGGGTGAGAACCGTCAGGAGCAGCGTGGACATCCAGGCTGTCCACCCAGGTCTCTGTCCCAGCCAGAAAACCCGCTATTCCTGTGAGCTTGCCGAGCTCATTCTCTCCATTGTGATGGAGCAGGGTGCTTGCCTGCTCGGGCAAGGCCTCCGAGGGCAGGAGGCCACACTGCGGCTGCCCCTCTTCATCGACCAGCAGTGAAAGGTGATGGGTGACCTTCCTCCTCCTCCAGAATTTCAGGTGAGTCTTCCTGGTTGGCAGAATTGTCCAGTGCCCCAATGTCAACAGTGCACACTGAAGTTGACTTGTCCTCCTGAGGGTCTTCTCTCCCTGCTCCGTGGGGTCTGCTCTCAAATGAGGCATCTGCACCCAGCCCTTGCCCCAGGCTCTGCCTTGGGGGTAGACCCAAATTAAGACACCTTTCATCCAATGGCTGTCTCCTTACACGGGTCTCTTGGGGTCTTAGTGGCAATCCTACTACTGTATTTGAACACATGCTGGTACCCCCTGGCAGCATCACCTGGGTTTTTGAGAGTGGGACTCGGAGCTCTCTGAAACAGGAGGAGAGCACGTGCTCAGGGTCAGCCACCCAGTGCATTTACTGACGAGTGGGTGGACACTCTGCTCTAACTGACTCATGTCTTACCATTTGATCAACATTCTTTTCTGACTTGTCACTCACTTATTGAACTTAGGGGTGAACAGACATTCTTTGGGGCCTCATGCAGACATGTGTCTAAGGAGAGAAAAAGCAAGCTTTGAGTGTAGATCTGAGGGTCTTCAGAGGGGCATGCCAGGCATGGAGTGCAGCCTGCTCTAGGTAGGGTCTCCCGCTACCCCCAGAAGTGAAACTCACCCCTAAGCAATAGGTTAGGGAGTGTCCCTAGACTGCAAGAGAGGGAAGAACCAAGATGCCTTCCTAGGAAAAAGGAGCAAAAACAAAGCAAACGCTTTGTTCATAAAAACGCATTTTTTGCATTTGTGTAACCAAGTTAGCTTTTGACAGTTTCACCTGGTGAGCTTGCGAAATAGGCTCCTGGGCCCTTCTCCCTTGCGCTTTGCATCAGGGAAACTGAGAGTCACGGGGCAGAATGAGCTGCCCTGGTCACATGGCTGTTTTGTGCAGAGTCCATGCTGAGGTCACTTCCAGCTGGAGGACGCTGCCTGCGTTCACACCATGAACCCAGCCCTTCCAGGGACAGACGGCCCAATAAAAGCAGAGGAGTTATCAATACGTACAGAGAAAACAAACAAAAGCAGAGTGTACTGGAAAAAGCGTCCTCACGAAAAACAAGATTAGTCATTCGTGGGAGGAAGAACAGAGAACATTAATATAGAACAGAAAGTAATTCCCTTTGACAACTCCAACCCGCCTGCCCCTGCCGCGGTATTTTCCACTTTGCTACAATTTGTAAAGTTATCATTTTTGTTTTGTCCCTCCTTTGGCTTCATTTCTTTCCCTTCATCTGTGGTTTATGTTAACACACAGGAAGACCCACTTCTATCTCGCTGCCCATTGGTTTTGGGGAACGTTTCTGCTGTTTTTCTAGTTTTTCTGTATCCGTTTTTCTTCCTCTTTGCTTAAGAAGGATCTCACGTCCAACTCTAGGGGTTAAAAGTCGCTAAAATCTAGTGAGGATTATTTAGGAAGAAAAATGGCAAGCTGATAAAGCCCATCCTTTCCCTGTCCTCAAACTTGATATTTTAATCCAAGTCCTGACATGATCAGAATAGTTAGCTTGCTTGCGGGGAGTCCGGAGCATCCTGATGTCTCCTCCCACCGTCTTGGGTGCAGGAGAATGCCAGGGAGGTCTTGGGAAGGTGTCAGAGTGGTGTCAGTGAGGGTCATTTGCAGATGAGGAGGATCTGGGGGTCAACAGGCAGAGGACCAAGGATGGTACAGCGGGCCTTCTTGGGTCTTTTTCTGGGTGGGTCTTTACCATCAACTCATCCATCTGAAATAAAATCTCAGTTTTCCACATAAAACAGAAAAGGCCCTGGTTTTCCTTTCCCCAAGAGCTTACAGAATATAAATGAACCCTTTTATGCAACACCAAGCCGAGATGCAGAAGATCATCTCATACCAACCAGATAAAAATACGATTAAACAATATTTTCCCAAGCATCTTCCTCTCATTTAATGTCTTCTACCAGATATCTCGCTTAGATCCAAACAGAGGATATGCCAAAAAATCAGAACCACAGTCAAGTCTCCTTGGCTCCGTGTATTTGACCGACGAGAAATTAAGCGGCTCAGAATGCCCCCCAGGGAGCGTGTCGCTCATTCCCTGACACAGCTCCAGTAATCACACTACCTTAACCTAATAGAAGAGGGTAAACACATTATTTTGCATGAAATTATGTGTCTTAATGAATTAATAATAGGGTTACAATTCTCAACTCAACAAGCAGGGAAATACAGAGTATAAAATAAGGGCAAGCAACTGCATTATAATTAGTTGGTCTTTGCTACACCGTGTTTAGGAATGCATTAGCTCTGATTGCCGGGAGGGAAGGGCAAATTGTGGGCAAGGTGACCCCTACTTCTGGGGAGTTCAGATGGGAGAGAAAAGAAGGGAGGAGGCTGCAATTAAAGGTCTTGGAATAACAAGGATACATTTCTGCCAACTGACCCCATCCATTCTGAGATTCTGATTTTTGGAATCTGTCCTAAGTGGAGCTCCTCATTCCACACACTCATGACCCTGCTGGCCACAGCCTTTTTACACCTCCTGCACCTTCTTCTGGATCCCTGGTTGTAAAGAATTTGGCTTTTCCCAAAGAGAGATCTAGACTTTGACCTCAGCTTCTGGGAGGTGATCTATATCATATCCAGCAGGAGTGTCTTTGTTTAACCTGGAGGCTGGCCACACTGGATTTAGGATGGGGGCTGGCCATGCCAGAAAGACCAATCTCATGGGTGTAGGTGGTGCCTGGCTATTGGTATCAATGGCCCTGGAAGCTGAAATCAACCAAATGAGCAATCCTATCAACCATGCTTATGTAATGAAACCCTGGTAAAAACTCTGGGCACTGAGGCTAGGATGACCTTCCCTGCGGGCAAAATTTCTGTGTGTTCTCACATCTATGAAGGAGGGTAACGTGACCTGACTTCAGGGGGACACAACAATGCAAACTACATTTAGAAAACCCCTGGACTCCACTCTGTATACTTCTTCCTTTCGCTGAATTTGGTGTGTATTCTTTCCCTGTCATAAACCCTAACCATCAGTACAGCAGTTTTCAGTGAGTTCGGTGAGGACTTGTGGAGAATTATCAAGACTGAGTGTGGTTTTGGGAACCCTCTGAGTGTGTAATTGGCATCAGAAGTGAAGGTGGTCTTGAGGAAGAATGTGATGTCAATCCGAAATGTGGCTAATTCTGGGCAACCCCCAATGTTTTTGGAAGTTGTGTTTCTTGTTCTCCTGATTGGAACCCTGGCACTGTCTATGGCCAGCACATTTGGGGCATTTTTGGCTGATTTAGCTGTGTGAGATGTGGTTGAGGTCTTTATTTTTCCATAAAGAGTATTTATGTACAACACAAAGCATTTATTTTTAGTGCAGTCACTCAGCTTTTGGATCTAAGCAAAGTCTTGACCACCTGCAAGGCTCTCAGTGAGGGCTCAGGACTCGGAGCAAAACTGCATTTGAAGAATGGCTCAAACCAAGTGCTATAGAGCTGTCAACAACAGAGAGGGATGTGCTCACTTTGTATGCCTCCATAAGAGCCGTGATGTCTAGGGCTGGCTGAAGGGCCATTGCTGAGTTTCTTCTAGAGGCCCAAAGAAGGCATCACAGTTTTACTAGAAAGAGATTCAGTGTCTCTCAGACCACAGGAGGCAGGGCTGACCTGTGTTGTTTGTATCCATCCGTCTCCCTGATTCGTACCAAGGGTGTTCCAAACATCCAATAAACCTCTGAACATGTTGTGCTGATATTTATAGGGTGTAGGGGTTGGTGAAAGTCTTGGGTTAGCTTGAGGAAGAGAAAGTGAAAGAGAGATAGCAGGAGAAGGAGGAGGAGGGAGGACAGGAGACTTCGCTGTTTGGAAGGAACAACTTATGTGCAGCCATACCTGAGTGTCTGGAGGGAGCGGTCATAGCTCTGGAGACTGGAAGTGCTTTGCTGCATGGAATTTAGACACTTTACTGCCCCTTGATGGCACGTAAGCGTCTCCGTGGAGACCCCTTAGGCTTGCAAATGCCTTGCAGGGGATTCTCCCAAACAC